GATTTCTCAGCTCTGGCTTACAGGCTCTCACAGTCGACAGGACGTGTCATCGCGATTGATTGTCAGGGTTACCGTTGCCTGCTAACGGCTAGTTCCAGAAACTGTTTTTTGTTGTCTTTTTTGGCTTTTTCTTAGTTTCTTCTTGGCTTTGGGGTTTCCTATATATACCTCCTTATACCTTAGTCCACTTAACCAACCAAGAAAGTTTTTAAATAAGTTTTAAGGGTGTTTAAGTTTGTTTTTCAAGAGAGTTTATTTGAAGAAAGTTTCACAAGAGGAGATCAATTTCGTTTGGGCTTTCAATCTTCAAATCTCTCCTTTTTATTCTTAGAGAAGTGTTTCTAAACCCAATTATAGCTTTACATTTATTTACTTATTTTATTATCAATTTTATTAAGCTAGATTTTATAATTGAGTTTAATTTTGATTATTTTTTATTGTTTACACACAAAACCATTGAGCTTTAGTATTTTACACATATTGTATATTTGGGTTGTGGGATTATGACATTGAGAGTGAGCTACATTGTGGTTTCATCCATTGTAGAGAACAAAACATTTATTTGTGCTTAACTGTGAGATACACTTTGTAATACACTTGTACACTAAGAGGAGTGTGTGGTGAGAGACGAGGTCGATTCTTATAAGAGTGGCGTTGGTAGTAAAGCCTAGGGAGAGGTTGTAAATCCGAGTACTTGAGGAAAACGACACTGGCTAGAGACCAACACTTAGAGGGTGTAGAGTGTGGTTGTAAGAGTGTGAGTTGTGAAAGTTTTCCATGAGCTAGAAAAATGAGATTGTGTTTTTGTAAACGTTTTGGGTGAATGTTGAAAACCAATTGTGATATTGGATTCTCTCCGGGAGTGGTGAGCGGAGACATAGGTCAGAAGGACCGAACTCCGTTATCATATTGTGTGTTTGAGTTTGCCTTGGCTATCTATTTGTGTTCATTACTTATTACATTCTATATTGCCATTGTATGTTTATATTGCCTTAGTTTAATTACATATTCTTGCTCATATATATTGTTGCATATCATAATTGATAGGATATTGATAAATAGTTTTAAATTACTGCATATCCTTGCTCATATATATTGGCAATACATATCCTTTCATAGTAATATATCTTTATGTGTTCTCATGGCTTTTGTTGAATGTGAGTCTTTCATGATTTTTTTATACTCACATTTTTATGCCTTATGATTTTCTTTTTATATATGTATTAAGGCATTTTGATAGGGGAGCATTTTTCTATTTTGTGATATACTCACTGGTGCTTATAAGTAGGGGGAGCTTTCGCTCCCTTATTGTTATCTCCATTTTGATGCTGACAAAGGGAGAGAAATATTTTGAGTATATCTTGCCTTGATTTTATGCATGATAATTATAATTTATACATTCACCATCAAAAAAGGGGAGATTGTTGGCCTCATGTTTATGAGCCTACTCCCTAATATTATTTTGATAATTACAAATAATTCCTAACATTATTTGTCTAGTGTTTTTATTTGTTTGTTAGGTATTCTAGATAAACAACGATGTCAAAGGTTGGATGGAATTGAGCTAAATGATCATTTCAAATGGAAGTTGGCAGAATAGTGGTATGAAGCCATTACACATAAGGTCATATACAAGATCAAGCTTCATTCGTAACCAAGTCAAGCTCATTAAAGATCATAAAGTTTGGGTATATTTAGTTTAGGTGTTTATACATTGTGTTAGTACTCTAAACTCAAAATATAGACACACAATTTCTTGGTTTATTCGTTTTTCAATTTATCCACAACCACAAGTTTTTGCAAACAAATAGATACAATTATACATATACATATTTGATTTCCTATGGATAAGTTATTTTGGTTAAGCCATATAAATATGAAACAAACAAACAAATTTCTTCACACACTCATATGTTTCATATTCTCTTGTATTTGGAAAAATAAATGTGTTTAAGAAAATATTGCATAGTATATGCATTTTTGTGAGAATATTGTATTATTTGTTTATGGACTTAACAATTACTATATACATCTTTTACTAAGTCTATAAAATCATTCCATAAGGTTTCAAAATATTGTTTAACTCAATTGGCAAAAATCATGTAGTTTATTTACTCATGTTTCAAACTAGTTCGCAAAACGATGTGTTTTCACACATGGAAATTGAAAATTAAAAAATTTCTTTTGTAACATGTTCATTTTTATGTTTTACAAACATTATTCCAAGTTTTATTATTTTTGGACCTCATTTATTATTTTTAACATATTTTACAAAATCAGACAACAGAAAATCCAAGTGTCTGTGTGTATCACTTTGTGGTCGACTGAACTGGTCGTCGCGATCGACTGGACTGGTCGCCACGGTCGACTATCCAGGAGCTGATTTCTCAGCTCTGGGTTACAGGCTCTCACGGTCGACCTGACGTGTTGCCGTGATTGACCTTTGGGGTTACCGTTGCCTGCTGACGGCTAGTTCCAGAAACTATTTTTTTGTTGTCTTTTTAGGCTTTTTCTTGGTTTTTTTTCTTGGCTTTGGGGTTTCCTATATATATCTCCTCATACCTCAGTCCTCTCAACAACCCATGAAAGTTTTAAAACAAGTTTTAAGGGTGTTTAAGTTTGGTTTTAAGTTTTTTTTTTCAAGAGGGTTTACGTGAAGAAAGTTTCACAAGAGGAGATCAATTTTGTTTGGGCTTTCAATCTTCAACTCTCTCATTCATATTCTTAGAGAAGTATTTCTAAACTCAATTCTAGCTTTACATTTTTCTACTTGTTTGGTTATTAATTTTATTAAGCTAGATTTTGTAATTGAGTTTAATTTTGATTATTTCTCGTTGTTTACACACCCAACCATTGAGCTTTAGTATTTTACACATATTGTACATTTAGGTTGTGGGGTTGTGAGAGTGGGCTACATTGTGTTGTCATCCATTATAGAGAACAAATCTTTTATTTGTGCTTAATTGTGAGATACACTTTGTAATACACTTGTACATTGAGAGGAATGTGTGGTGAGAGACGGGGTCAATTCTAAGAGGAGTGGCGTCTGTAGTAAAGCCTAGGGAGAGGTTGTAAATCCGAGCACTGTCTTTGAAGTGCTTGCATGTCCCTCGTATGAAGATGAATGGCAATGATGGAGAATACTTGTAACCTCATCTTCATGAACACACCTTCTGAACATCCCATCAACACAACGTTTGCATAGAAACGGTTGATCCCAAAAATAATACTTCAAGTCAGCAAAGAACTTCTTTTTCTGTTGATATTTCAGATCCGGAGGTAAGACTCCACACACTATGTAGTTGACGAAGTTAGCATACTATGGTGCATCAAATCTTTCTATGGTAAACAACTGATCATCTGGGAAGGAGTCATCTATCGATAGTTCACCCTCCTCCCTATCGTGTGATTATGGTTTCATCCTTGACAGATGGTCTACTACCAAATTTTCTATCCCTTTCTTATCCTTTATCTCTAGGTCAAACTCTTCCAAAAGTAGTATCCATCGAATCAACCAAGACTTGGTATCTTGCTTGCTCAAAAGATATTTGATGGCGGAGTGGTCGGTATAAATGATGACTTTGGATCCCACTAAGTAAGACCAGAACTTGTCAAAGGTGAAGACAATTGCTAATAACTCCTTTTTAGTGGTAGCGTACTTAACTTGGGCTTCATCAAGAGTGCGACTAGTTTAATAAATTGCACGAACTATCTTGTTCTTCCTTTAGCCCAACACAGCACCAACTGCATAATCACTTGCATCGGTCATGACTTCAAATGAGAGATTCCAGTCTGACGGTTGCATAATAGGAGTTGTTATCAATGCTTCCTTCACCCTACGAAAAGCATCAATACATTCATCAGTGAAATCAAGGGGAGCATCTTTAATAATAAGATTAGTTAAAAGTTTTGCAATTTTTGAAAAGTCTTTGATGAAATTCCGATAGAAACCAACATGTCCCAAGAAACTTCTTACTCCCCTAATCGATGTTGGTGGAGGCAATTTTTAAATGATTTCCACTTTTACTCAATCAACCTCAATTCCGCGCTCGGACACCTTGTGTCGTAGAACTATTCCATCCCTTACCATAGAGTGGCATTTCTCCCAGTTTAGGACTAAATTAACTTCTTCGCAACGCTGCAAAACTTGAGACAAGTTAGCTAAACAACCTTCAAAAGTAGTCTCATAAACGGAGAAGTCATCCATGAACATGTCCATAATGTCTTCTATAAAATCAGAGAAAATAGCCATCATACATTGTTAAAAAGTGGCAGGGGCATTACAAAGGCTGAAAGGCATGTGTCTATAAGCAAAGGTCCCATAGGAACAGGTAAAAGTAGTATTTTTCTGGTCACTAGGATGAATAGGGATTTGGAAAATTCTCGAATAGCTATCTAAATAACAAAAATAAGAATATCTAGCCAACCTTTCCAACATCTAGTCTATAAAGGGAAGTGGAAAATGATCTTTTTTGGTTGCCTTGTTCAACTTTCTATAATCAATACACATCCTCCAACCCGTAACTGTCCATGTAGGGATAAGTTCATTATTCGTATTGTTAACTACGGTCACACCCCCTTTTTTAAAAAACACATGGACCGGACTAACCCATTCACTATCAGAAAATAGGATAGATTACCCCAACATCTAGTAGCTTAAGCACCTCTTTTTTAACCACTTCCTTCATGTTAGGATTTAATCTACGCTGGTACTCTATAGAGGGTTTATGATCATCTTCATAGAGAATTCTATGCATGCAAATCGATGGGTTGATTCCTTTAATGTCGTCCATGGTGTATCCTATGACCTTGCGATGCACCTTAAGTGTTCTAAGAAACTTATCAGTTTCATTTTCATTCAGACATGAATTCACAATCACAGGATAAGTGGAGTTAGGACCAAGAAATTCATACCTTAAAGAGGAAGGGTGAGGTTTTAATTCTACCTTTTGTGCTTTATCCTCTTCAAAAGTAGAACCTTTTGGCTCTAACTTTAGACTTTAAAACTTTGCACTCCGAAATGGAGCAGCTGATGTTGATTCTAAAGTTTGAGCATACGCAGCTACCTTAGGATCTTCATCATTTATTGAATCTTCACTTACCAAACACTTCTCAAGTGGATCAGCTGAGTAATGGTTTGCAAGTTGCTCATGTGTACACTTGTCAATCACGTCGACCCTGTAGAAAACTTTATCAGTTAGAGGGAGGTTCATAGTATTGCTTAAATCAAATTCTACCATTTCTCCTTCAATATTTAAGGTGAGCTTTCCATTTTTAACATTGATTATAGCACCAACAGTAGCAAGGAAGGTTCTTCCTAATATAATTAGAATGTTAGAATCTTCTTCTATTTTCAAAATAATAAAATCAACCGGGATAAAGAACTTACTGACCTGGAAAGGTACATCTTCAAGTATACCTACCAGATATTTTATCGATCGATCTACTAGTTGGAGTGATATTGTGGTTGACTTCAAATTACCTATACCAAGCTTCTTACAGATAAACATTAGCATCAAACTTATGCTTCACCTAAATCACACAAAGCACGGTTAATAGAGACATTACCAATAACACAAGGAATAGAAAATGAACCTGGATCCTTAAGCTTAGGAGGTAACTTATTTTGGATAATAGCACTATACTCCTCAGTAAGGGCCACAGTCTTGTATTCTTCCAACTTTCTTTTATTAGATAGGATCTCTTTCAAGAACTTATCATAGGAAGGCATTTGAGAAATAACTTCAGTGAACGGGATATTAATGTGCAACTTTTTCAAAATATTTAAAAATTTTCTGAACTGCTTTTCTAACTTAGCCTTAGCTAACCTTTGGGGAAAGGGTAGAGGAGGCTTGTAAGGAGCGGGAGACATATATTTCTCAACTTCTTCTTTTTCTTCCGTTTGGGTCTCATTATCCACATTTATCACATTTTCATTTTTTTCATTTTGATGACCATCTACCCCATCTTTTTCCTTCATCTTAGGTCCCTCATATTGTTTTCTTCTCCTAAGGGTTATAGCATTCACATGACCCCTAGGATTCATCTCGGGTTGTCCATGTAGCATGCCCGAAGGCCTAGAAAAAGAGCTAGCATTTTGCCCCAATTGAGTGATTTGTGTCTCTAACATCTTGTTATGTGTAGCTAGGGAATCCATCTTAGAGGCCAATTGTTTTACTATCTCATTCGTGGTTTGTTGTTGTTGCTTAAACTCTTCATTCAATCTCGATTGAGTCCAATTGTTTTACTATCTCATTCGTGGTTTGTTGTTGTTGCTTAAACTCTTCATTCAATCTCGATTGAGTCGTCATAAAATTTTCCATCATATTATCCAAATTAGACCTTTGAGAAGGGAGATTGGATTGAGGAGCACGAAAACTAGGAGGAGCAAAATTAGATGTGGGCATGGGATTTCTAGGTGGGTTTCTATAAGAAAAATTAGGATGATTCCTCCACCCCGGATTATAAGTGTTGGAGAAAGGGTCTCCCTTCTGGTTAAAGTTGTCAATAAAGTTAACATGTCCATTTCCAGAAGTATTAAGGGATGGATGGTTTCCTAATTGACATTCAAGTGTAGAATGACCCACATAACCTTATATCCCACATGCAATTGAAGTAGACGCCACAGAATTAATACCCAAGTTTTCAACTTTTTTAAACAAAGCAGAAACTTTAGAGGGTATATGATCTAAAGCATCGATTTCATACTTTCCTCCTTTTGATGTCTGAGCCTGCTCGTTCGCCCATTGATAGTGATTCTGAACCATGTCTTCAATGAGAGTGTATGCCTCATCTATTATTTTGTTCATCAAAGCTCCTCTTGCAGCAACATCAATAGTCATCCGAGTGTTGTAAGTGAGCCCATTGTAGAAGGTGTGATCAATTAACCATTTCTCCAGTCCATGGTGAGGGCACATTCTCAATAATTACTTATAGTGTTCCCAAGCTTCATAGAGTGACTATCCTTCCTTCTGTGCAAAGCTTGTGATCTGGTTCCTCATCTGTGTTGTTTTACTTAGGTGAAATACTTTTCAAGAAACGCCCTAGACAACTGATCCTAAGTGGTAATGGACCCAGCTGGCAATGAGTGTAACCAAGCCCTAGCCTTGTCCTTTAAAGAGAACAGAAATAGTCTGTGTTGAATAACATTATTGGTCACTCCATTAAGCTTCAAAGTATCGCAATACTCCAAGAAAATCAACAGGTGGAGATTCGGGTCTTAAGTAGCACCTCCTCAAAACTGATTTTGCTAAACCATTGAGAGCAGTGATGGTTTTAGCTCAAAATTATTAGCTTCAACAGTGGGCCTTGTAATACTTGAGTGCGTGCCTTAAGCATTTTGGGTAACGAAATCCTTAAGAAGCTGATTCTGATCACCCATCGTACTTGTTCTGTGTTCTTTTGCTCCATTATATACCTTCTTATCTCTGCAAGAGTCACTGATAGTTCAAGATTGTTTTCGTTGTGTACTTCTGTTTGATGCCCTTGCATAAAAGAAAGTGAGTAGCGAAGAGAATATTAAAAAAAATCTAGTCTAGCTTAATGATGTAAGCACTCAATATTAACACCATAGTCCCCGGCAACAGCGCAAAAAACTTGATAGGAAAAATTTGCAAGTGCACAGACTCGTTGTAGCTATCATGGTCGATCCTATAGGGACTAGGGGTTAATTACCAAATTTCACGTTATTCGACTAGCTAAACCAATGAGTAAATTAGAAGAGATTAAAATTAAAAGAAATAAAATAAATAGCTAATCAAGTGGAATTCAATATAATGAAGATCTAGGATAGGGTTTTCACCACAACTTCGATGTTCAATGATGAATTATTTCAGCTCTCTGTGTTGGTTTAAACTAGAAAGGATGAATTAACCTAAATTAATCTAAAGCCTCTTTCAAGGTCTAAAGATCATGCCTAACTAATCTCAATTAACCTACTTTCGTGGAATCAAGATTAAATTAAACCCATTAAGCTTTATGCTAATCCAAATCAAATCCCGAAGGACTCTAGCCTACTTTCGTGGTTCGAATTCCCTGCTTAATTTCTAGTGGTCCGGTTTTAATTTTTACCTTTCAGTCCTTCAATTAATTACCTATGATTGCTGATACGGTGATCTAGCGAATCAACAAAATTAAAATAGAAATTAAGTTTAAAGATTTAAACTTTCACCAAGAACCTATATTAATTCATCATAAATCACCAAAAAGTTGGGTTCTTTCCCAATCCTAGACAAAGAATCTACTCACACATGATTGGGATAAGAGAATACATAAAATAAATATACAAATCAATCATAAGAAGAAATTAATAAAAGAGAGAAAAGAATTAACCCGTCTTTCAATTGAAATCTTCAAAATATAGACTTGCAATCTAATCTTGTACAAGAAAATTTTGTTTTCCTTCAATACTTGAACTCTAAAATAGATGCTAATTGACAGCTAAGAGAATAAGAACAAAAGATATCTAAACCCTAAGCCAAAATATCTATTTATATATCCTCATAAAATTTGAAAAAGGATTAGGCCAGTGCCACAGGTGTGGTGCGCACCACACCAGGGTGTGGTGGAATCTGTCTTGCTCATTTTGTGCTTGTTCGTACAGTCTTTGATATTTTGGCTATAACTTTTTCGTCCGACCTCAGAATGAGGTGGTTCAAGTTGAATTAGAAATCTATTGAAGAGATGTACAACTTTTGTCTTTTGTGATTTTTTGGATTCATATTGCATTATGGTCGAAATTTCAGTTCTTCGTGCTCGTGCATCTATTTTTTTCTCAAACCATGCATCCTAAGTCCGGTTGTTGCTTCAAACTCTTGTTTAACTTCCAACGATCATCGAATCTTTTAATCTTGATCCAATACCTACATATAAGAACACAAACCACAATAGTATCCTTGATCTAAGCACGAAATATACATCAATCACACATAAGTCATGCTTGAAACACACTAAGATAATGCATATTTTATGTGTTTATCAGTAGGGCATTTTTTCAATAAAAATGCTTGTGTGGCCTGTTGCAAATCATTATGTTCTACATAAAAGTTGCCCGAGTGCGTTATATATGTTACTGAGACTAATGAATATAAAAATTCAATATACAGAAGAATTGTTGCTATCAATTACATATTTTTATGCAAACGATTGTATGTACTTCCATATAAACAAAGATAACTATTATATTACAAATTAATAATAGCATAAAAGTTTGCAGTGAAAGTAAATTTCATTATTTGGGAACTCATTACAATCGTTTATTGACTTACAACAAGTTCAAAAGAGTGAGCCTTTTTATAAGACTTCTCTTACATAAATAAAATTAAAAGATTACAACTCTCTCTTAAAACAAACACAGAGGATGTTTATCACCCGCTGCTTGCGTGAGATCTTTGCCTGTGTTGGGGATACGTTAGTTCATGGACCATCACGATCAGATCTGATTGACAGATTGATGGTCAAAGCTCTTACCTCACAAAGGAAGTTATCGCAGAAGTGATAATCTCGACCAAGCAAGATTATAACTCTTCTCGAGATGAAAACCAAGTTCGATCAGGAGAAAAGGGGGAAGGAGCCTCAGATTTTTCGAACTCTCCTTCTTTATGCCGAAGAACTTCACTAAGATCTATTAAGTTCTCTGAAATTCATGCTCAACTCTTCAATTTGACAGCACCTCGCCCTCTGATTTCAGATCCTCTTAAATGAAGGCCCTAGGCTTGTGTTTATAGCCTTTTGTTGTAGTGTTTTCTAATAAGAGTTGATGATCTAACCTCATCTGTAGTTAATAACCACTTAACCATGTTTAAGGATAGATTCAAAGTAGTTGGGAAGGTTTTGGAATGAAAGAATCCTAAAAAACTATTAAAAAATGTGTATTAGGAGTTTTTGGGCGTGGGCCACATCACGGTTGCTCGGCACTGCACATTTGTTGGTTCGCAACCTATGCGAAGCGCATCAAATGGTGCGTCGGCTTACGGGTCGAGCCACTGGCTAGTCTTTTTGACACAACTAGGCCGCTAGGGGATTTTCTGGTTCATTCGGGTTGGACTTGTTTTGTCATTATGTGTATTTTGTCATTTCGTTGACTCGTTCGCTTCACCAATTCGCTTTATGCATTTTGTTAGCTTGAAAGCGGCTGACGAGTGCGCGGGCCACTTGGAGTTAATCAGTGAGCACACGGGCCACTTAGAACTAGCTGATGAGCATGAGGGTCACTTGGAGCTGGCCGGTGAGCACGCGGGCCACTTGGAGCTACCCGTTAGTGCGTGAGCCACTTAGCGGTGGCTGGTGATTTATTACCACGTCATCAACGGTTCACTGATTCGCTTCACATGCTTGTCGGTGTTAGATAATCCTCCTTGACTAGGATAATGACATTCATCATCTTCTCTTCATATTGAGTTGTGTTCGAGGAGCTATAGATAATTTTTGATGCCTAAAGATACCCAATCCAAAGTGTTTCAGTCTCGTTTTTTTTTATATAAGAGGTTGAAATACTTTGGATAGGGAGGCCCAACCTTCACTCCGTGTAAAAGGACTTGTGATTGGCTTCAATCTTTGATTTCTTCAATTCTCAGTTTATTCAGTAATTTGTTGAATAACTAAATTTTTTTCGGTGCTGCATTTATCGTCTGACCGTTTGTTGAAGTCTCAAACTAAAACTAGTATGTTGATTTCTGAATTTAGCTCATGTCATTGAGTCGACATTGAACTATCTTCATCACAGATTCGTATCTGAATTATGGTTGAAATTCTTTGGATTATCCTTTGTTTCGGATTTTATCCGACCATTGTTTTGATGAGAATTGATGATGAATTAACTTTGATTGCAACGCGTTGACCAGCGTTGACCTTAATCGCAACGCATTGACCGACGTAAACACGGTTTATACTCATATGTCAACTGGAGTCTACATAGTTTTGTTTGGAGAGAAAGTTGATGATTTCATTGTTGTATTCATTACAACTTCAAACGTTATAATAAAAACAAAAAAATTAATCTTTTTATAAGACCCTTTCACAATGAAAATAAAAAAATTACTACTCTCGTCAAACAGCGCAACGAGTATTTATTGACCGCTACTTGCGTAGGATCTTGGTCGTAATACGGATGTTGATATCCCTGGACCACCAGATGATCAGATCAGATTTGTAGCTTTG